TGCCACAAATTCCCCCAGCTGTGAGCCTTCCAACCTTCTAAGTATTCCTTTATATGTGGTTCAGAGTTCTGGGACCATCCCCTGAACCTGCTTGGTCGGGTATTCTGTGTTGTTGTTGTTGGAGCTCTCTGCTATACGTCCACCCGATCTGCCATCTTGTTTGTTCCTCCCACTCCCTTCCTTTTGTTATAAAATATCTACCTTTACATTTTCAACCCTCACAGTCAGTCTTGATAGCAGTTATTCATGATTGTACCACAAGAGTCTTATCCCCATCGCCTTTCATCAGCCCTGTGCAGGCTGATTGGAAACCACTCAGTGGAGATTCTATCTTCCCCTTACCTTCTGGATGTAGGCTCCCTCTTGAAAGCTTGTAAGCCAGTCACTTCAAACCCACTAGCTGCTCGTCAGAAATTGTATAGTGTTGCTGTGAGTCAGAACATATTTTTACAGTACGTAACAACAACATGTATATACACACACATACACACGCATGTTTTGTGTTTTTAAATTTAAAACATTTATATAAATGTGATTTCCTTTAACAGATAATAAGTTCAGCAAGCCCATGTGCAGACTTCTTTTATCGAAGTTTATCCTCTGAATTGAGAAATCCACATGCCCAGCCTTCAGTGCGTTCCGAAAAACATTCGTTAGAGGATGCTGTGAGACTGATTCAGAAGTGCAGTGAAGTGGATTTGAATATTGTTGTATTATGGAAGGTATGTATTAATAAGTTCTTTTAGCAAACGTTACTAAAATTAAGTCTTAGGCTGAAGAATAAATGTAAGCTGCTGTTTATGTATTTTTTTCTGTTTAAATGTTTCAGTTTCATTATGAAAAGTTGGATTAAAGTCCTTTTTAGTGGTTCCATAATGACTTTTCCACCACTCGTCTGTCAGTTTGTCATACTGTGGTGCCTGTGAGTTGCTGTGATTCTGAAAACTATGCCACCGGTATTTTAAATACTAGCAGGGTCACCTATGGTGGACAGGTTGCAGATGAGCTTCCAGATGAAGACAGACTAGGAAGAAGGAGTGACAAACTACTTCTGAATATTTAGCCACTGAAACCTTATGAATAGCAGAGAAACACTGTCATTTGCTGATAGTGTGCAACTGAAAATGAAGAAGAGAAACAGCTGTAAACATCCATCAATAATCAGCACACGAAATGTATGAAGTATGAATCTGGGAAAATTGGAAGTTGTCAAAAATGAAATGGAATGCATAAACATCGATATCTTAGTCATTAGTGAGCTGAAGTGGACTGGTATTGGCCATTTTGAATCTGATGACCATA